ATAAACATACCAATTTGATAAGCAATAGAACATAAAATAAAAAGGGGGTAGTTGAGACCTAATTCCCAACCCTAGCTAGCCTTGAATTACTATTCCTTTTTGCTTATCCTTAGTGGATTCTCTCCTATTTCTTTAATCCACTTCCTAAATTCCTTGCTCTATAAATTTATACACAACATAGGAAAGTCATAAGAATCAATACAATAGCAATTCAACTTCAATTAAGCAACATGACACTAAACAGATTCAGTTATAGCAGATTGTACACCTTAGAGTAATTTGTCCATAATTTTTAATTCACTCATCTTATTTTTAATTGATTTATACCTACAGAAAGATAATTCAATTATATTTCCAACCATGTATGGATCATATTTTAATTCCTTCTACACAATTATAGTTTTGCATTTGAAGTTAGACAATTTTCTAGAGACCAATCTGTAACTCTTGTAATTCAATGCACTTTGGTGAACTAATTCACCTAGAATCCTTATCAATTTGTCTTAGATATTTTTACCATTATTTAATTTTATCCCTTCCATGTATTTTCATATTAACTTTAACCTTTAACAATTCAATTAAGTCCTCCAATTAACAGTTTTCCCAAATCTGCCCAATTCCACTATTTTACCCATGTATCACCTATAAGCCTTCGAATTCTCTCAAATGAAGGCTTCAAACTTTATTATTTATTTAGTCTGGTCCCTGTCCAATCCTCAATTATTTTTACCAGTCTTCAATACTGTCAAATTGAGTCCCGAATTTTTCAATTTGTTCAAAACAGTCCCTAATTGAATTTTTACAGCAGCAGTGATTAAATTCACTTCTAAGATCAAATTTTTATAATTTTACAGTATTGTATATTGTTTAATTCTTAGAAACCCCTGTAGTTTTCAATTTTTAGCAACTTTTTCCTACAACCATTCTTCCAATTCGGTACACAACCTTTTAAATTTCTTAATTTGGTCACATGCAAGAATAATTCCTTCGGTTATCACTTCAAGATGATAACCCATAATAGTCCAATTTAGCAAGGTTCTCACTCTCTTAAACTTGATTCAACATGACCATCAATTATTTCTAATATCATGCACCAACAATTGGAATTATTTCCATATCAAACTTATAATTTCTTAAGAATCAACTCAATTAAACTCTTAAAATTTCGAATGGAAATAGAGGGAAAGGCTTACTTGTAGGCTAGGTGAATTCTTTAGTTAATCTAAGCTTGAAATCCACGCATGCATGGCCGAATACTCCCTTTGCATTCTCTCCATTTTTCTCTCAATTTTCTTTCTCAATTTCAGTCACCAAATGGAGAAAGAAGAGAATGTTATTTCCTCCAATAATACATGTAATTTGTCTTCTTTAACCTCACTTAATGTTTAAGTAATTAACTATTCAAGGGCAATGTAGCTTAGTTCTCCTAGGCTAGGATTTCGGGGTGTTACAAGATCAATGTTGATGCAACCTGTTCTACTCTTAATGTTGGTTCAGCAGTGGAGATTATAACTCGAGATCATCGAGGCTTAGTTATCACTTGCCAGGCCATCTATATGGTCGACTGTTTTGATGTGGGGATTGCAAAGACCAAAGCCATTACTTACTGTCTCTGCCTTGCCGTTGAGCTCTCTTGTCCCAAGGTTTTACTTAAGAGTGACGCACAAAACCTCGTTCGGCAATTGACCTCAACTCACTTGGATCTGTCCACAGTAGGGTATCATCTAACAGAAGCTTGACAATTACTCCATGAAAATGCTGGTCTGCAAGTCCATGGGATCTGCCGTTCAGCTAATATGACTGGGCATACCTTAGCTACTTATGTTTTATCTAAATCTACCACATTTTATTATAACTATGATAGCTGGAATTGTCTTTCTCATGTTTTGCTTGATGATGTATTAATGACTAATATTTCGAATGCTCGTTATGTTTAAAAAAATTGTGTATGAATTTTGATCGCGTGCAGTATATAAATTCTTAGTTCGCATGCATGAGTAAGATAATTTTATGTGATTCCATGAGGCTAAAAGTGTTTTATCCTTTAAATTTTATTTTTTTAATCAAAGGTAAGATAGATAGAATCTTAGAGTTTAAAAGTTACTAAAACTTAGTGTATTCTTTAAGTTAATCCTTTTACGTTTTTTTAGTTTTGATGTGATTAATGCAAAAATTTTCTATGACTTTAGCATAAAAATTAGAAAAGAAAATAATCAGAATGTTAAATTTATTGAAAATCTTGTATTTTTGTGAATTAAACATGACCTGATGTTGGCTATGTTGTTAGCAGATTATATTAGATATACCCATAACCTAAGTAACTAATATTAAAATTTTTGAAGTATTTTATTGAATGTTTAGAGAGGATAATAACTTAGAATCATAGTTTATCGAAGTACTGTGCCATCATTAAAAGATATTATATATAAAATAGGTAATTGATAATGTTGTGGGAAAGTCTTTTAGTGAGTATATCTCCATCTTGTGTGGAGTAAATTTCTCGTAGAAGTTTATAAAATATATGTTTTACTCTCTGCTTTGAAGTAATTGATAGCCCTCGAATTAGTCAAACAAAATGATGAGTGATTTAAATATTTATTTACTCAGATTTCTTATGGGGTAAAAAAACCTACACACGTTGTGTTTCATAGGGACTCAAACTGTGCAAAAAAAAAAATACAAGCCCATAATGATAATAGAATGTACAATTGAATTAAATATGAGTGTGTGAAATAGATATAGAGTACTACTCGGCTTTGGAGTACAAGATAATCTTGTTGATCCCTCAAGTAAACAGTTAAGTAGGAAAATGGTTCACGATTCATCAAGGAGATGGGTCATAAGCCTAATAATCGAAGGATTTACGGTGGATATTCAACTTAATTTTCTAAATTTAATGTTGTCAAATGAAACTATGTTACGCGAATTAAAATAAATTTATCATGTATTGATCAGTATAATTATAAAATAGACGTTGCCTTCTAAAATTAATACACTCAAACAAAAAAATGAAACTGACTCAATGTTGCTCTTTTTAGGGAAGGAAGAAATGGGTTATTAGATGAAGGAGAACAAAGAAATAAGAAAAGGCTTGTATTATTGATATTTCAGTAATGAAGTAATGGACAATAGAGGTAATAGATAAAATGAAGAGAGTTGATGAAGCAAATCTTGGTTGAGCTGGCCTTTCTTTTGTCTTTCAGCCACACAAGGTCTTGAAATCTACTGTCAATAACCAAATGTATATCTTTCCGATGTGATCAATTCATCAGACACGCGCGTATTCTTTGTTGTATTAGGCCAAATCCATACTATCATCGTCTTTTATTCACCTCAACTTCCTTTTGATTTTTTATGCATGTATTGAGTTCGTGAAATATCTAATTTTGTTTAATATTTCATTTAATAATTTAAATTTTTAATTCAATATAAAAAATTAATAATTTTTATTAAATTAGTTTAAAAAAATATGAAAGTACGTAATCGATCTACATGGCACGTGATTGAAAACTCACCTCCAAAACAGGGAAGGAATGATTAGAGGAGGAAGAGATTAGGGTATTATAAATTTAAGATCTAAGGAGATTATATTTAAATTTAGTGATTTAAGGGATTGAAACAATATCAAGAGAATAACCAGTAATATAGTCCAATGATGAATTAGCAAGTGTTCGACGATGCCAATGACGATTGTGGAGATGATAAATTTGAAATTCGTGTTTAGGGTTACTTGAAATTTTATGAAATTTGTAATATTTAAAAAAAAAATTAGAAAAGTTATAGTTTTGTTTCAAAATGTATGAAATATTTTTTAATTTTTTTTAAAAACTAAAGTATGTAATTGATTAACTATTTTTTAACGAATTCTTTTATTATTATTTTTAAAATTAAGCATAGAACTTTTTATGCTTAATATGTAATTGAAAGTTCTATGCTTAATTTAAAAATATGTAATTGAAAGTTCTATGCTTAATTTTAAAAATAATAATAAAAGAATTCGTTAAAAAATACTTAATCAATTACATACTTTAGTTTTTAAAAAAATTTAAAAAATATTTCATACATTTTGAAACAAAACTATATCTTTTCTAATTTTTTTCATAAAAATATTACAAATAATTAAGTAATTTTTTTTTTGAAATCAACAAATGTTTATTATTCTTTAAGAACCAAGAGCTGATTTACACGTGTCAAAGCTAGAGGTCGTGTCAGACACTGATTGGACTTTACACTATACACGTAAGCAAACTTGGAGGGATGTCAGTCCACTTGCTGCTGTATCAACGGTTAAAAACATATTGAGCTTTTAGCCAATTATCTTTTTGTGTTTTTTCTAAAATAAAAATATTTTATTCAGACCGTAGCATCTCAACCATCAAATGTTCTTTGATTGAAAAAAAAGAAGAAAAAAAAAACTGTATAAATGGTGGAATACGAATTCTCCCAGTTTGATTATTCTTCACGGTAGGGAGGACAAATAATGATAAAACAAGAAAATGGAAATGTGTGAGATAATATTAGGGTTTTCGATTATCCCTTTAATTTTTCTTTGATTGAAAGTTTCTTTCTCCCCATCTCCAATCTCCAGTCCAGTGTGTTGAATTCTAGCTTCTTCTTTTTTTACCAGAAATTCAACGTGTATTTTATCTTCAGTTGACGTTTTTTTCTTCCGGTTCTAGTTTCGCCGTATTAGCGCTGAAACGACCTTTTGAATTTTGAGCTTTTTCTCGCAGTAGAAATTGTAATATTTGGTAAAATTTTGAGCTTTTCTGTTTGTTGACTTTTTGATGAACTTTGGTTTGACGAGTTTGAGGTAAGAGAAAAGGGTCATAAAACTGTAGACGAAAAATAAAACCTCTTTTGATTGGATCATAAGCTTGTCTGGGTTTGATTATTTTTTTGAAAGAAACAAATCTATGCTGAAGTCAGTCTAATTGAGTTCGGTTCAGAAGCTTTTGATTTTAATTTTGATTCAAAAAAATTGTTGGATTCAATCATTAAATTTCCAAATTTTGATCTTTCTTTTTCAATAACCCGATTTGATAATTTCCTAATGTTGTGGTTCATTGCAAGAAAAAAGTAGAAAGTTTTCAACAAAAAATGGCAGTTTCTTTTTCTGGGTTCCCGTGGTGGTTTCGGAGTGTTGGGAAGAAAGATAAACAGCTTATTTCAAATGAGTCTTCTTTGATTTCTTCATCGTCTTCTTCTGACACAGTTAAATTCCAAACAAAGATATCCCCTTCAAAGGGAAAGTGGCCAGTTGGTGAGAAGACAAGGGTGGTTCAATCGGATGGTTTGCTTTTATCTGGACATGAATCTGATGGTCCAGAATGGTCCATTGGATGGGAAGAACCCCATGGTCCTGGTTTTCAAGTTAATGATGATGATGGTGGTGGATTTGCTGTGCTGGTTCCTTGTTATAAGCCTGGTTGCAAAGAACTTGTACAAGGCCCTAATAACCATCTCTTGAGTGCAATCAAGAATCTCTCCAATGACTTCTCTTCAGGTAAAAACTTATTCCTACTGAATCCTTATGTTATGTTAAAGGACTATATCTATATTTATCAAGTAGTTGAGATTGTTCTTCATTCCTTTCAATGCTTGATTGTAAGTTTTTGCTGTTTTTGCTTGATTGAAACACCAGTGCTAGCTACTTTGAAGGTGTTGACAACTTTAAAGTTGATACAGATTTTGCAAGGCAGTGTCATAATTCATAAGTGTTGTATTGTATTGCGTATCTGGATGATCATTGCACAACTTTGTTACTTGGACTTTGTGTGTGTGTCGGATACGGGTACAAAATGGGAATGTTTGATTTTTCGATTTTTTTTTCTCTTGAATGTGGGATACAGTCTTAGAGTATCATATTTCATATCGATGTCTAAATATGTTCGGATGTCTGTTGGATGGGAAGTTATATTCACAGAAAATCCTTTGCGGGCAGCATTACTAGGGAAAGCCTCTGATTGACAGACATTTCGACAAAAACTGGAGCTTCACATTTGCATTTGTTTAACTTAACATGGTTCTTTAGACTTGGTGAGCATTGAGCTCAACCTCTAGCATGTAGAACTTGTATCGCGTCAGCAGATGTGTACTTTGCGCGAGCATTACGGTCTGATTTAGTTGGAGTCTGAGTTGAAAGCATCAGATGGAAAGGAACTGGAAGGTGATCTTTGATGCAACTTGTCCAAATGTATCAGTAAGCTCTGCAGGATTAGTGTAGGGAGCACTTATTGCACCATTTGTTGCAATCTTATTCTCGAACGACCCATTATAGTTTTAAGTGATGTTTCATGGACTCTTAGATCGAACTCTGAAGAAACTTGTGTTTCCCAATGCTCGATTTATTTGTATTTGGTTAAGCTTTGCATATGTATTGAAAACATTTTCAATCACAATTCGCAGTGTACTGTTGTGTGAGAACTTTCTATTTCACGGACTGGAGCTTTAGACTTATCATCTTCAACTCTGTTGAACTCGAAGATGTGTGATTCAAGTGTTTCGATGTTTTAAAAGATGTTTGTACATGCTGAATTGGGATTTTTCGTGTTTAAAATCGGTGCTCTTGTCGCAGGCTGAAGATTTCTTCATGCATACTAACATTCTCTATGCATTTTGGTTACAAATATGCAGAGGGAAGGGACTCCATCCAGCAGTGGTTTCCTTATAGATGAAATCCATAAATATTTCAGCCGAAGGTACTCTTGAAGTGATCACATTTCTAGTATTTGCGCATAATGCAAGAAAAGGTGTCCGGTACTGGCAAGAGGCAATGATCTGCTTTAGATTCCAGTGGAAACATGAAGAAAATGGTTGCTCTTGTTTTTCAGTTTCTGTAAATAATTATGCTGTAAATATGCAGTAAAAGAAATCAACTTTGCTTTCAGCTCAAGTTCTACTGTGATAATTCTTGTCATTCAATTGGATATATATATATATATATAATGGAGATGATTAGCCCTAAATTTGGGGATAATGGCTTAACATTATCTCCAAAAGAAAATAATATCTCAACATGTTATTTATTAAATAAAAAATAGAAAAAGTGGGTTAAATGGGAGAAAAAAAAAGAGAGAAAATATCCTAATTGCCAAGCCGAGAACTGTGAACACCCTGATAAAAAGACAGTCGCCACGTGGAGGAAGGTCACTGGCTGAAAACTCTTAAACTAACTTTCTCTTGTAATTGTTTAAAAAAAACATGGCACAAAGAAAGTTCCGTTGTCTCAAGGATATAATTGGGGCGAGGCTTGCTCGCTTCCATGATTCCATAACAAAAGCAAATGAAACCAAAAAAAAAAAAACACAACGACAAATTTTATCTTATTCTTCCCTCTATCTACCCCAAATTTTCTCTTTGATTAGCTTTCCATGTCTACTCTTTATTTTATTGGAAGATAAAAAGAGTTTTTTTTTTTTTGCATGCTTCTTGGGGGGTCTTAATTTACCTTAAAACAAACCTTTCCTCTGCAAACTGTTTTGGTGATTTTGTTCTTAAAAAAAAAGTAAGCAAAGATGTTGCAAAGAGCTGCTAGCAATGCCTACTCATGGTGGATGGCTAGCCATATAAGAACAAAGCAATCAAAATGGATGGAGCAAAACCTTCAAGGTAATATATATCTATTAATGTAAGAATTTCTGGGTTTTTTGTGTTCTTTTTGTTGAATATGTCCAATGCAAAAGAATTCCAGTTTGGAAAAGTGGAAAAATTGCAGATATGTATCTGCAGTACTTAAACTGATCGAAGAAGATGGAGACTCCTTTATCCAGAAAGCCGAAATGTATTACAGAAAGAGACCTGAGATCATAAATTTTGTGGAAGAATTTTTCCGAGCTTACCGTGCCTTAGCTGATCGATATGATCACTTATCAACCGAGCTGCAGAATGCCAACAACACCATCGCTGCAATTTGTCTCGATCAAGTTAGGGGCTTGGACGATGACGACTACTTCAATTGCCCATCAAGGTTCCCGAAAAAGCCTTCCGATAACATGGGCAAAGCCCCCAGTGTTCCTAAGCAACCCATTAAAGAATTGAAGTTCATAACCAATACGAAGAAGAAGTGCAAGAGAAGAAAGTGGCGAAACAGCCTGTTTCGTCCGTTTACAAGTCCTCCGGTCTGACCAAGGAGGAGGGAATCGATGAGATCATTCGGATTCAGAAACGAATCCTGGCGTTGCAGACCGAGAAGGAATTTGTTAAGAGTTCTTATGAGAGTAGATTGGCTAAGTACTGGGAAGTTGAGAATGAGATCAAAGAAGAGCAACAGAAAGTTAATAGTTTGCAAGATGAATTCGGTGAAGGTAAGGTGATTGAAGACAACGAAGCCCGGAATTTGATGGCCACAACCGCTTTAAGTCGTGCAAAGAGACATTGGAGGAGCTGATAAAGAGATACAAGAGATCGGCGGTCGAAGCCGAAGTCGAACAAAAGAGGATCACAGCAGCAAGGGGGAAGGTGGATGCTTTGAGGAAAGTGTTCCTTTCGAAAGTATCCGCAGCGGATATGACCAAAATCGCAGAAGAAAGGGCGGAAAAAAGGAAAGAAATGTGCATAATATCGCCCACAATACGGAGTCAGAGGCCGGAGAAGATGATTCCGAGGCGGACGTTCCAAGAAGATTGATGTGCTGATGAATAAGGTGACGAGCCTAAAAACTTCGAATTCATCTTAGGAAGCTCTTATTCATAGTTAAAAAAAAATGATGAACTTTAAGGCCTAATTCAGAGATTAGAAGAAGGTAAGGCTAACCAGAATTTGAAGATGAAGATAATCAACTTGGAGCTCAAGTGGCAAGGGATTCAGGATTTGGAACCATAGTATTGAAAACCAAAAGACAAATCTACAAGCTTCAAAGATGCACAGTCTAATCTTGATGAACTTTCCCATAATGTGCAGCTGATTGAGAATCTAGAAGCCCTGAAAAGCTGGTTGGCATTGCCGAAGAACGAAAAGGAAGAGAAGCCAAAGAAGGCGAAAGCAGGGAAAGAGTTCTTGAAGCCGAAACAGGCCCTGATATCTACCACTGTCGATGCTGATGCATCGAAAGGAGTAAATTCTGCTGTAAAATCCACTGTTGATGGTGCCAGTGCATCGAAGAACTAAATTCCGTCCCGAAAGATGCAAACGAAGGTGCTGCCGATGCATCGAAAGAGCTACATTCCGTCCCGAAATCTGCAAATGAAGGAGACGGAAGTTCTGAGACTTCAGAAACATCTGATTATCTGAAAGCAATGTCTCAAGTCGTTGGACAAGCATCATCACTGATAGCCGACACACTGTCCAAAACTGATTTGAAAGAACATGAATCAGCTGCACTGTCTCAGACCTTGGAGGAAACCAAGAAGAAGCTCATGGAAGTCGAAACAAATCATCAGAACTCTTTGAGATAACGTTGCAGTTAAAAGAATTGAAGAACCATATGGCCAAGAAAGACGAAGAGATTCGATCTTTACGTCTGAAACTAATCTGAGGCCAGACCGGTATCGGTAAGCCAAAGAACGAAGATGAATCCCTAGAATGTTTCGAGAAATCACGAGAGCCCGAAACAAAAACAACAGAACCACCTTAACCGGTCAAGAAAAAAGTGGAAGAGGACGAAGATTCGATCAAGCTCCCAAAGCCGGTTCAGGACCCTGAACCTACACCCGCATCGAAGAAAAATTCCGAACCGACATGACGAACTGCTGGAAGAGAACTTGGAGTTTTGGTTCAGATTCAGCTTAACATTATACGAAGTAAAAAAGTACCAAACTGGGGTTAAAGATTTAGAAGCAGAGGTAATGAAACTGTAGGAAAGGAAAAAGAACGAAGGAAGTAGCACATCTAAATACTCGGCAACTTCAGACGTCCGACCATTATATAAACACCTGAGAGAAATGCAGACCGAACTGAATCAGTGGATCGAAAAGGGAATGTCATTGAAAGAAGAACTGAAGAACAGGTCAGCATCTTAATGGGAAATCCAATAGGAGATCACCAAAGCACTGAAAGCGAGTACCGAAGATGACGAGTTCAGTTTCACGAGTTTTCAGGCAGCAAAATTCCAAGGCGAAATATTGAACATGAAGCAGGAGAACAAGAGGGTTGGCGACGAATTACAAGCTGGTTTGGAACTAGCGACATTACTGCAGCGTGATGCAGATAGGGCACTGTCCAAGTTGAGTGACGACTGGGGACTGTCGGGTTCGAAGAGCCGCCACAGCAGCGGCTCGGCGGAAGTTCGAACGAACGTGCCGTTGAGGCCGTTTATCTTTGGTGCAAAACAAAAGAAGCAAAAGGCTTCCATTTGTTCAGTGGTTCAACCTGCACTGCAAAAGAGGCAGAATAAATCAGGGCTTAGCAGTGGTAGATGATAAATGGTTGGATTCTGAATGTTTTGCTTATATTAATAAGCCTTTTACTTATACTATATCTCTCGATCTCGTAACTTCAAATATGATATGAGAATAGATACGAACACAAAATACATACAAAAGTGATCCAACAACTGTTGCTCCGATTCTCACCCATTTTATAATATCTCAATGTTTGTTTCATCGTCTTTGGTTTTTCTTTGATAGGTAGTATTGAAGTAAATGTTCTAGAATGAATCTAGAATTCTGCTGAAGTAATCTGCTGTGTGTAGAATGTAGTGCAGTTAGTTTGTTAGTATTCTGTTATACCAGATTACCAGCTTAGGGAATTGGTTGTTATGTGTATGTAAACCATGTTCTCATTAATGAAGAATTAAGAAGCTTTCTTTACAGATTTCAGTCTTCTTTATACATCATAATACGGTATCATCCGCCTTTTGATCCTGGAGATTGTTGCCTTCATGGGTGATTGTAGCAATATTGCTTTCGAATTCGGGGAAGCTGCTCGCAGTAGCAAGATCTTCACACATAAGAAGATCAACATCTTGCTGGATGAAACGAACTTCTTGTTGTGGAAACAACAAGTATTGCACACGGTTCACAGTCACATGTTAGAGAGGCTGCTCAATGGACAATCACTACCATCGCCGGCTCGAATTGCTGATGAATCAGGTGCTAGTGTTGTGAATGAAGACTATGAAAACTATGTTGCATAGGACAGTGCTCTTGCGTCCTGGTTGCTATCTACGATCAGTGATCCCTTGTTGCCCCATTTTGTAGGAGCTGAAACCGCAGTTGATGTATGGCAAACAGTTCAGAAAATCTTTGTTAATCGATCCACTACGAGTGTGATGAGTCTGTATTGTAAACTCAGATCCAACAAGAAAGGTGATGATAGCATGAGATTCTATCTTACAATGATTAAAGAAGTTGTGATGCACTTGCAACGTGTGGGAGTGCGATCTCGGACCATGAACAAATTGCTACCATTCTCAATGGTCTCTTGGTTGAATATCAACCATTTGTGGCTGTGATTACTGCAAGCAAAGAAATGTTTTATGTTGACAGTGTAAAAACAATCTTGATGGATGCTGAGTCACAATTAAGTGATTTTCAATCACAACAATCTCTTCCTATGAGTGTGATGAGTGTTCAGAATCGTCAATCTCTGCTGGTTATTTCTTCGGTTTTGTGGAATTATTGCTGCTAAATTGGTCGTGTTATGTTTGTTTTCTTGCAGGTCCTTACTTTCTAGAATTAGTGACAAAACGGGCGTATTCTGCATTTTTTTATTATTTGATCACGGCTGGAGACATGGGCACGACTCTGGGCATGACGCAGTCTGACGTGGCAGTTTCTAGAAGGTCCAGTCAACGACGGTTTCTAGAAGACTTCCTCCGCACGCCTTCTAGGAGATTGACGAGCAGAGTTGCATTAGGAGACTAGTTTAAGTTTGAATTTAAATTAAAAATAATTATCTTTAAGATTATTTTATTTGTTTTCTTTGTTT